TTTAACTGTGCCGTTTGATGCCAGTACAAGTTTTCAATGCATCTTATGTCTTTTTGGTCTATATAAACTTTCTTGAGAATCTGCATTAACTTGTGGTGTTGGACACGATCAAACGCTTTTTGGTAATCTAAAAATCATAGAAACATCCTTCCTCTGATCGTAACAATTTTGGACCAGCACCTGTGTTGCTACTATTGCTTCTCATGTTCCTAAACCTTGCCTAAGCCCGAACTGGGAATCACTGATGTCCCATTCACATTTTTTGTATAATCTTTGATGTAGTATTTTTAAGAATATCTTTAAAGTGTGACTCATCAGTCTGTGATCCTCACATCTTTTTGCATTGACTTTCTTGGGCAGCGGAATAAAGGTAGAGCGGAACCACTGTTGAGGATAGCAGCCAGTTTCATAAATTAAATTAAATATTTTGTGTAGTGCTGATATTCCCCTTTCATCTAGTAATTTGAGTATTTCTGACGGGATCTCATCTGGTTCAGGTGCCTTATTGTTTTTTGAATTTAATATTGCATAATATTTAGACATGTCATATTACTTTTATATGCAGACATGTCCATATTCCTTCAAAACTGTACAGTTCCTTAGTGTTTTCATTTGTTAAATAAATGGTACGAGCGTGTTTTTCTTCGAGGCAGATTGCCAAAGTCCTCTACTCAGTATATATTTAAATTTTATTTGTTCCTTATCCTGTCTTTAAGAGTCTTGATTTATCTATTTTATTTATGATTCAAGATTGTATCTTGCTGTTAATGAAATAATCATTAGAATAACCAATTGCATTCGTTGATTATCTGTCAAATTTTCAAATTAGTGCATGATATGACTGTTCTCTGCTCAGAATTCTTCGTAGATACATGGATTTCCTTGAAATTTTGACAGTAGGTAGAAAATAAATCAAATATCGAATATATCCTATGTTAATATGTGCTTTTCCTCTGGGGGTGTTTACCACCCCAACTCGGGAGAGGAAAAATTTATCAAAAATAACTATGGTAGTCGCTAGAATAGTGAATTCTTCTTTTGACCCATTATTAAAGATGTACTGATAATTTTTCTTTAATAATGTTATCAAACATATTGGGAGTAAATAAAGTTTAAATAACATATTTTAACTTTCGACTTTCTATTCTAGAAAATAGTGTTTTTGTCATTTCACTGTAGTAGGGCGGAATTTGGCTTTTATAGAGAACTTCATTATATTTTACCGTACTTAGGTAGCTTTCTACCAAAGGTATAGATTTTTTAATTTTCCAGTACCTATAAGTGAGGTCTAAAGCTGATAGCTCATGAAGATCTTGGAGGTATTTACAATTTTTGGATATAATTCGGTGAATTTCATAGATTAGCGTAATGCAATGAGGTCTGCGCTTCATTTTCATTATTTGGACTGGAGTGGATTTTAAATAACCTAGAAATAATCTCAGGCATTTATTTTTTGGAACTTCAAGTTTATTTACATAGATGTGATATTGGCCGCTGATCCAAATAAATGACCGCTAGTCGAAAATCGGCCTGACCATGTTACGGTAAAACATCAAAGCAATATTTGGGTCTGCTCCCCAATTTGTTTTACAGAAAGCTCTTAAGATGTTTATTGAATTTTCTGATTTTTTAACAATTTGATGAATGTGATATTTCCATAACAATTTCCTGTCTAGATAGGTACCAAGATACTTATTACACTTTTTTATAGGGAAATTAAATTTTTTCACATTAAGATTGCTTGTGGAATTCTATAGTTTTGTGAAAAGTGTCACACCTCAGTTTTTGTGTCAGAAATTAATAATCCTATTTCTTCATAGCACTGATTTACGATTTCTAATGCGACTTTCAAATTATCCTCACAGGTAGTTAACAATTTTCCTACTGGATATAAAAACATCATCAGCATATTGAAGAATATTTGTATGGTTTGGTATATTAACTAAAAGATCTATGTTGTGCAGGATATATAAAATCGGGCTTAAAATACTCCCCTGTAGTAATCCAATATTAGTTAGTGGGGGGTATGAAAATTCCTCATTATTAATTTTTAAAAGAGTTAGTCTGTTCGAATATAAAGATTTTAAAAAGAGAACAAATGATTTAAGGATTCCAATATAAAACATTATTTGTAAACAATGTCTAAATTGATATTCTCCCACATAAGTTTTTCCGTTAAAATCTAAATTTTTGGAGCTATTCTCGAAAACCCTTCAAAAAACATACTTTTTTGACGTGAACTTTCAGTCACTAATTACTCCAAAAATATTGACTTCCGAAAAAAATCTAAACAATATTTATGTCTTTTAAATTCAATATTCTGGCGATTGCCATGTTTTCTTTTGATAAACTTTTTCCATCCCCGAGTTGGATTGGTAACCACCCCCAGATAAAAAGTACATATTGCCATACAGTAGAATTTGATCTTGGTGCTATTTTTGAACCACTGTCAAAATATAAAGTAAATCGATACATATAAAAAAAATTGAAGAGGTTTTCTGCTGTTTTTTACCGTCATATCCAGGACTATGTATATGGATTATTCACGTTCATCTGTATTTTTCGATAGCTGATAAAAGACGCGTACATTTTCTATATAGAAACTCTATATAGTCAGGTCTTCTGACGAGATATATTAAATTGTAGTCATAACATCAACAATATTATTTAAATATCGATTTTAAGTTTCATTATTATGAGCAACATAAATGTGAATCATGTTAAATTTTTAAAAATTCGCAATATAGGATTTGATTGGAGAACCCTGAATTTGCTAGTAGCTGTAGAAGAACAATCTCCGAATATAGCAGAAGGTGTTCACGGAAACAGAGACGAACTAGAAATAGGGGCAGGGGATCAGGTATAGCATATTATTTTAAAAATGGATCTATTATTTCGCTTTCGACCTATTTCTTCGCTTTTGCTCTGGTTCTTTTTGGGCTTTGCTTATAAATGGAAGTTTTAATGCATGTTATAGTTATATTTGTCTTTGCCTAAGGTAGATTGTTTTATTACTTAATATTTCAATGATGAACAATTTTATATGCATTTCATAACGGTAAATCTAAATTAACCATCATATTTTTCATTTCACTCTCAATATTTAACAATCAATAGATAAATTATTTTTTGTCCCAAAATTAAAACAAAAAAGCTGTTTTTAAATTTTAAATATTTTTAAAATTAAACAAAGTAATTTTTTTACGATTTTTTCAATCATCGATTTACAAGGTTAAGTATTTATTTCAACACTTTGTATATTCGAAACAACAGCTGTTAGTTAAGTCTTGTTATAGATTTTAATAATATTGAAAAAGTTTACATGTTATATAACGGACTCGCCCGATGACGCTCGTCGAGTAATGGACTCTTCCAACTAGTTCGTGTCACTCATTGAGTGACGATCGGCTTAGAATTTTATTATAGAAATATTTAATACAACGTCAGTATAGAAGCTTCATTTAAAAAAGTCTACTACATATTTAGAGACAAGCTAATTCTGTTGCTGTATGTATTAGCACTATGGCTTTTTCAGATTTTGTTTTTAAGTAGAGAAATTGAGCAAGATGATCAGCAATACATGGGCCCACAATTCCACGACCAACTATTTCACTGCTTATATTTAATATATTTGCTACTGACAGTCTTAAATCTACACATTTATATGATAAGAAATATCAATTATGAAAGTAAACTGGAATAGACGATACAATTTATTTACAATGTATACTGACTATTCTATAATCAAAAAGTATCAAACACTTATGCCATTAAATAAATTGTAATATAATCACCTCAACCTCGGTCGGGGTCAGTCATATCTACCTCTAGCAATTTTAATATGCATTTATCTAGTATATTTCAGACAAAGTGTCATTATTATTGGTGCCGTAATACTCAGCAGAAATATTTATAGTACAAAATGATATACTATCCTGAATAGATATGCAAAAAATGTATTTAAAAGGTATTTTCAATTAACACAAGCAACTGAATCTAAAAAAGTGTGAATGCATAAATTCAAGATTTATCTGTTTTAAGGATTAAGTACATTTACATTATATATAAAATATTTAAATCTGATTTTTAAACTAAAAATGAATCAAATAGCAATCATAACGAAAGAAGGCAGCAAGTTCTGAGTCTAGAGACTGAGATTGAAGAGAAAAAGTGAGGTTACATGGGCACTATAAATGGCAAAAAGGTGAAAAAGCTCTTGGTTCCGATGACTAAAGATTTTGGGAGAAAATTGAATTAAATAAAGCACTGTGTGGTCTCTTTAACAGAAGAACTTCGATCGAGAGTGTACACGGCGTTTTATGTATTTTATCGTATTCATAACTTACGTCACAACCCAAGTACTTAATTTTCTATTTTAGTCTATTGTCGCCAATGATTTTAGGCCGTACGGGATAATTTGCCTTTAAATGCATTTGTTGTTTTTTTGTAAAAAAAAATATTCTAATTTTGGGACAAAAAGTAAATGGTATACAATAATAATGCTTTATATAACAAAAAAACAAGCGTTAAAGAAAATAACTTCTCCTATTTGCCAATGATGTTCAATTAGTATTTGCTACTCTTGAGTAACAATGATGTCAACAACTTTCTGAGGCACAAAATAACAAAAGTAGGACTGCGAAAATAAGTTTAATACAAAGATATGTCTAACGCTAAGGTTTGTAGGATTTGACTACAAGACATGCAACGTTTTATTGGCATTGGATCAACAGTCTCCAAATATTGCTGCAGGAGTACACATTAACAAAAACGAGGAAGAGATTGGAGCTGGCGACCAGGTGATTTTACATATTAATTTAATGTTTTAATGTTTAGATTTGTTTGCAGCCTCGACATATATTTTTATATATAATTTTTTCACCTGAAATCAATTATTTTTTTAAGCAGTGTATTTAAAATTTATCATTTAATAATAAGGACAAAATCATTTTATTCATTATAAGCCTTTGGATAATGCATGTTTGAGTCTTCATGATTTTTGGCATGTTACAGTGGTATACAGGTGAAATGAATCATTAAATTCATTGCTTATATCTACATTAATGAAAAACTCAGTAAGATTTTTTTTGTAAATTCTGAATAATTTAATGATTCCTTTTACGATCATTCCATTAGTTGTTACTTAAGTTTTCATGACATTTTAAGAAGAGGGAGAGATTTTGATGTAGGAATGTATCTATATAGTGGGTTTAAATTGATCACGTTTTAGTAAAACATGTGCTTTGACAAAAATACTGCTTGTACTTTGTGTGACATTACCATATTGACCTTGTTAATCTGTTTTTTATCTAATCCTGTTTTTCAGCCATCTTACGCTATAATAACTCAATGAGCTAATTCATTGAAATGAAAATTACAATTTTTGAAAAGAAATGAAAACCACTACTCAATGCATCAGAGACGAAGGCAGAAAGGAAATACAGATTAAACGAAATAAATTCGGAACATACGAAATATTATGTATGTCGGCTCAATTCCGTTCTAGGTGGTTGGCCAACAAAAGGTTGTCAAATAATTATATTATAAAAATCCAATACTTCAGCGGGCTGCTGGATTTTGAAATCATTCAAGAACAATTCAAAACTCTACGCAAATAGGTTGCCCCGCCCATCACGTATAAAAATTGAAAGCTACACATAAATCTAAGATTTTATTATGCTGTCAAACCACTTATCGCTTCCCATAGATGGATATTTTGAGCGGTGTTCAGTGATCGTCAATTTTATGTCAGTTACGAACTTCAGCTACAAATTCCACCTAATGCCGCCTTCCTGTGACTGTGACATGATATGGTACCCAATACCTCTGTACTGGCCACTCTGTCCAAGATATTCTCATTATACACATAATTTCTATAGTTTGTATAGTTACTGCTGTTAACGTCCATCTTTCTACTCCATACAGTATCGTAGAGGTTACGTTAACATTCTTAGTTGCAAGGTAGCCTAAGATGAAAACAACTCCAGTAAAGGTTATGGGTTTGTTAATTTTAAAACTGAGTAAGTCTATTGAAAAGATAAATGGTATGTTGTTGAACAGAAAAAAAGTATATGTAAGCCGCTTTATTCCACACAAAGAAAGAGAAAAGGAACTTGGGAGAAAAAACCAAGCTCTTCACAAATGTTTACGTTAAAAATGTTGTTGAACATTTTTCTGAGGAACAGTTGAAAGTTGTGTTTGAAAAGTATGGTAAAATTACCAGCTACAAGATCATGAGTAAGAAGATGGTAAAATTGATAAACAAAAAGATTTGGTTTTGTAGCTTTTGAAAGTTGAGGCAGCAGAGACGGCAGTGGAAGCTTGAAATGGAAAAGAGTTGGTGGAAGGAAAACCTTTGTAGGTAGGAAGAGCTCAAAAGAGAGCTGGGCGTCAGCAAGAATTAAAACGTCGCTTTGAAGTTTTAAAATTGGTAAGACTTAATCGCTATCACCTACCACATTTCTCTATATGTGGCGTTCATAGATTTTAAAAAGGCTTTCGACAGTGTCGAACATTGGGCAGTGAAAAGTTCTTTGATTAACAGCCGAATTGACCACATATATACGGAACTAATAACCAATATATATATATATATATATATATATATATATATATATTATATATATATATATATATATATATATATATATATATATATATATATATATATATAATATATATATATATATATATATATATATATATAAGGAAGCCAAAACAACAATTAAAGTATATGAAGGAACAAAATCATTACAAATAAGTAGAGGCGTGAGACAGGGTGATACAATATCACCGAAACTTTTCAATCAGGCTCTTGAAGATACTTTTAAAAGATTAGAATGGAAAAAAAAGGTATAAAAATTTGTGGACAACGCTTGAACCATCTAAGGTACGCTGATGACATCGTATTGATACCCGATAACAAAGAAGAATTATTTGAAATTATGAAAGAACTGGACGTAGAAGCTTTAAAGATAGGCCTTAATATGAATTACAGCAAGACCAAAACTATAACAAATACAGATGAAGACATCACAATGAGAATCGGACAAGATGAAATAGAACAAGTTAAGGATTATATATATATATATATATATATATATAATATATATATATATATATATATATATATATCTTGGTCAAACTATAAAACTTAACAAAGAGAACCAAACAGCAGAGATCAAGAGACGAGTGAGACTGGCATGGGCTTCATTTGGCAAACTAAGCTACATTCTTAAAAACAAAAGATATCCACAGCATCTTAAGACCAAAGTATATAATCAATGCGTACTCCCTGTTCTTACTTATGGTTCCCAAACGTGGACATCTACAAAAGCAAACATGGACAAAATCATAAAAACCCAAAGAGCAATGGAAAGACAAATGTTGCACATAAGACTAATGGATAAGAAGAGAAACGAGTGAATAAGAGAGAAAACAAAAGAGAGGGATGTTAGACAAGAAGTTGCAAAATTGAAATGGAGATTTGCCGGACACAATATAAGACAAAAAGAAGACCGATGGAACAAAATTCTTATAAGTTGGAGACGTGGGAATATAAACGAAGCAGAGGAAGGCCCCAAATGGGATGGGCAGATGATATCAAGAAGCACGTGGGCTCTAGATGGATGACTGTAGCGACAGACAGAGAAGAATGGAAAAGGATTGGGCAGGCCTATGTCCAAAGATGGACCGAAGAAGGCTAATTAGATAGATAGAATCGCTATCAAGGTGTAAATCTATGTGTTAAAAATGTAGACGATACAATAGATGATAAACGTCTCCGTATAGAGTTTACTCCTTTTGGAACCATAACATCTGCCAAAGTGATGCTAGCAGAATAAAGTAGAAGTAAGGGTT